ATGGTCTGGTTCTGAAAGTGCTTGGAATCCTCCTTCTCGCGCTTTGTTTTAACAAAGCTGCTCCTCGGCCGCCCAGCGCCGGGGCTCTGCTACCTACAGCGCACGCGTTCCGTTTGTCTGTCTCCTATTCTGCGTTGACTCCGAGCAGCCTCAGCGTAAAAGCAGACGAGGTGGTTTATTTTTATCGCTCGCTTTTTCTCGTGAGAAAGAGAATCCCCTGGCCCTGCCCTCTCCACCGGCTTCCTCCGAGCACAGGCGTTTGCATCTTGGCAAATGGGGTCTGCAAAATGCTACTGAATTAAACCGGCAAAGTCTTTCGTCATATTTGTTTTGCACTGGCTGTGATAGACTCTTTGCTGGTCTGAGTATCTGCAGTCTCGTTGATGCGAGTGGAGTTCTCCTTTGCGTGACAAGGGGGTTGGGGGACGCGGCGAGGTGGGCAGAGGTCCTCTCCCACGGCAGAGAGCGGAGGACCGGCCTCGGCGCCTTCAGGTCTCATCTGTCATCTGCGATTCTCCTCCACACTCATGGAAGACACTTCATGTGTTGAAACTTGCTGCGAGCCTTTGATATCTTTGACCTTTTTAAAAAAAGTCTTTTAAATTTTGATATTCCCTCAGAAGACAGATGGTATTTTTTGATCAAATAGATAGAGGTTTCGTGTCTCAACGCATTTCTTGGTTTCGCTTTGTTGGACTGGTTAACTGCTCTCGGTGTGTTCTATGCTGCTCACGATCTTTGCTTGTTAATTTGTTTTTGAATGATAACTATCAAAAAGTTACAAAGAACTAAATGTGCAGAAATCCCCCTGGAAAACATTAGTGAAGTCCTGCTCGCATCTCCCGTCGGATCCAGAGGTGGCTGCTCAGGTACATACAGTCCCACCTGCAGCAACACTTCCGAGGCAGAAATTGCCCTTGATACCTTCTGGTTGAAGGAAGGCTTGAGTCCAGGTGCCACGAGTAACCAGATGCAGGTCCTCGGGAAGCGGTGAAGAAACTGCAAAGCCTGGCAAAGCTTTGGCTCTGGGGAGGGTGAGGAGGAGCCCTCCGAGAGCTGTGCTGAGCCCTCCGAGAGCTGTGCTGGGTGCCGCGCATCTCTCCTGGTCACAGTCTCATTGAACAACAGCCGCAATACCAGAACTGGGGCTCTGTTTTCCTCTTCCATCACCCGAATAACTCATCTGGAAACAGGGCACACGGTACGTTCTCAACAAAGTAAGGAAATCCCTCTGACCAGTTCTCGTTCACAGCAGAATTATAAAGATCCTGGAAAATGCCCCGCTTTTCCCTGTTAGCTGAGCGCCGGCAGTGCCCGCCCGTGGGTGCCCGCCGTTGGGTGGCCGGCGCGGGGGCAGGGGACAGAGGCTGCTGTGTTCCTGCTGCGGCAGCTCGGACGGAAGATGAAATCATGGTGGTTCGGCACTGGGTGAAGACTTAACTACTCATTTTCTGGCGCTCTGTTTACACGGGAAAGCTGCTTGTGCTTGAAAAAAAAATTTTTGGTGGTTAGGAATCCGTATGCGTGTGTCTGGCCCTAATTACCTAACAAAACCTTCAAACCCAAGAAATACGACGACCTAGTTTTGCAGAGGTGTAGAGCGGGCTGCAGCGTTGCTTGGTGGTGGGACGGTTGCAGCACTGTGTTTGTAAGGGGTTATTTTCACTGTAATGGTCAGAGGGTGGTTTTGAATGACTTAAAACCAGGTGTATGGTACAGGAAAAAAAAACCCAACAGGCTGTATTGTTTGCCCTGGTCATATTGTTTATGCCTTTAGCAAGTGCCACTGCTTAACTCATTCGGTATTTAAAGATTTACTTGTTTTCTCTCCGTAGTACCGACCCAGGAGGTGGCTGAAACGGCGTGTGGGGCAGAGACTGTTTATCGGGGAGGTGGAAATATGTCTGCTGATTGTAGTTTCAGATTTGGGCTTAGGTCAGGAACAAAGTTTTCAAATTTTCAAAGCATTTTGGCATGTTGATCCTCGGGACATTTTTGTGTTTATTTCAGACATTGCAGAAAGGCAGTAAGAAAATTTTCCAAACAGATTCTACACTTCGTCTGAATTCAATCAGAAACCGGAATTCACACAGGGACCGAAAGCGTTTGGGACTTCAGGAGATGATAATTTCCAGAAGGGTGGTTTTCTTCGGTGATATTCTGAATGCCCCAGTTTTTGGCTGCCAGACTTGTAGGTTAAGAAACTTTGAGGCTGCCTGCCGATCCCCATCAGCTGAGATCCGAGTCTGTTTAACGAATCGCAAATCGAGCATCCAAAAGCAGAAACACTCCGACTCATTAATCACTGCGAGAGATCCCGGCCTGACCGTATCAATTAACAACAATAGCTCCCTAGTGGAAAAGGAACACGACGATGTGTTTCCACTGATGGTCATGACATTATTGGTCACTTACCTACGCCTGTGTTTCCCTTTGAAGATGTAAATCGCCACGACTTTGGGTCCCGCGCGTGTCTGTGTGTTCATATGCATTTTAGACTAATGTTTGATGACATATCCTTCAAAGGCCTCTAGAAAAACCCAAGCCTTGGTCTAAGATGAAGACTTTGCTGAAACTCATCATGTATGGGGTGGTAGAACATTCACACTAACATTCTGCTGCACTGCTACATAGCGGAATGTTATTGCAAAGCCGCTGTTGGTGCTAACGGGCTTTGAGTTCATTACACCATCAGCTGAAAGTTTTACTCTGTGAGTTTTAAAGAAGGGGTTTTTTTTTTGATAAAACTAAAAAGTGTTGTAGAAATGAAACGTGGAACATTTTGGAGCAGGGTGCGGTGCTATACATAATTTATTGGGCCCTGTTTGTACAGTCAATTGTGAAGTTATAAACAAAATGCAGCCTTAAATCAGAGATGAGAGGGTGAAACTGCGAGTAGTTACTTCCTCTGTATTTCTATTTAAAAAGCAAGGTTTCCGCGTTTGCTCAGACAGTCACATTCTGGTTTGGTTCTTGATATTCAGAGTGCTGTGTCTGTTTTTGGGTTTGCCCGCTCCACAGAGCGCCTTTCCCTGCGGTGGGTGGGCTGCGGTGGGTGCTGGAGCTCGGTGAGGTCCCGCGCACGGCCACGGGGAAGCCACGGGGCGGCAAATGTGCCTCTGTCACACTGAATTTCCAGGTCCCAGAGCTCCTGAAGAACAGCTTGACTCACCTCATCGACGTAAGGTCCCTCGGCGCCTGTTGGGCTCCTGCCGTCGTGGTAGTTCCCCCGTCCCATCCGACCCTCAGCTCCCACCTCGTTAGGTGGAGGGCACCGGGGGTCGGCGCAGGGACTGGTGCCACCACCTGCGCCGCAGCGATGCTCTCGGCCAACACAGAAGTCCCTTGAACTGGGGAAACGCTGAACCCGTTTAAGATCATTAAAGATGAGTTTAGTGGGTTTAAGAATACAGTCCATATGACAGGTCTTTGCATTGGCGCTTAGAATGAGGTGAGCAAGAGGTTTCTCCGTGGAGCCTCTGAGCAGGCGCTCTAGATGTGGGGCAGGTATTTCCTGACTGGGAGGAGGAATAGCACAGGGTGGGCCTGAGGAGACAACGGGGATAAAAGATACCATTTTATTAGAGATCACGGACTAAGCATCCCTTGCAGGTACTGCGGCACGGCGGGAGGTGCCTGGTGGGAAATCTCCCGGTTCTCCCACAAGCGGTGCTGATGCAGAGCTGCGATACTGAGCACAAATCATTCTGGCTGCTGAGGAGGAAAGACATGACCAATTTGAACTTAGGAGTGAAGCATTTCCTAGAACTGAGCCTGAATAAATTCTGGAGCAGCCGAACAGGAAATAAGCTAATAATGGGATTTTACAGTATGCATTTCCCATATAAGGCATTGAAAAGTGGCATGGGTTTGTTTGCTGATCTTCCGGCTGTTTTGATGAAAACGTTAGGTTTCTTCACCGTTGGCGCTCCGTTGTGATTGTGAGGACTTTGCTGCGCTCCGGGCTGCAGCGCTGCACCTCGCCACTGCGTCGGTGGTCCCTGGGCGGACCCTTCCCAGAGCAGCGCAGGGAAGAGCCTGGTTAACAATTCCTCCGGGCTGCCTTTGTTTGTGTCGGGGAGCTATTTCCTTTAGCCCTTGAGGCTGATGCATAGGAAGGGGAAGAGAGGAGGGGAGCGCCCGTCTCGGTGCGGTTCATGCTGCTGAAAATAAGTTCCCCAAAATGCGATGTGGGGAAAGGAAGCCCTGGCTCCACGGAGCCTGCTGTCTCCCTCGGTAAACAAAGGACGGGCTTTGGGCAAGTTGCCCACGGTGTTGGTGCAGGGTGCGTTCCCGTCCTCCCTGCTCTGCCTGGCCTTTTAAGGATATGTGACAGTATGCCGGAGACCACGGTAAGGTGCGTGTTTGGCGATGATTAACGAGCACGAGGCTCTTCTGCAGCTTCGGCGTTTCTGCGGCGCTGCTCAGATTCCCTTCTCACGAGTAACTCACTCCGGTTTTCAGAGTTTGGCCTCTTCTGCGTGTGAGTGCGGTCTCTTGCCAGCTCTTACGCTACATTAATTTAGAGCCATCTACCTTTCCAAACATGCTCCGGATTGTGGAACAGGTTTTGCTTGTAAACGCGAGGCCAGATGTTGGGCAGAGGAGAGCTCCCGCTCAGGCGTCGAGCACTTACTGCTGCGACACATACCCATCGCGCCTGAAAAGCTGAAATCTGTCTGCTTAGACAAGAAAACGCTCAAGCTGGCCGCTTTGTGCGGTGCTATAAGAAGTGGCCTATATGCATATAATTCAGGAGTTCTTTCAAACTAGCACGCACTGAATCACGGGCTCACTTAGTTTTAAGCCACAGCTTGTGCCAAACTCGTTACGTTGATTGCTTGCCAAGCTGGGACTGACTTTCCAGTCCCCACTAACATTTTCCTTTTCTTTTTCTGCAAAATCTGCTAATGAAGGCTGAATGGAACAATGCAGGTGGGTCCACCGGCTAGATAAGAAGTAGCTCTGATTCACTAACAAATGTTTCTTTTCTTTTGCAGTGACATATTCGATGCCATGTTCCCCGTCACACACATCGCAGGAGAAACAGTCATACAACAGGGTAATTCTTCCCCTCGTTTTTTTCCCTTGGACCTTTGCAAAGATTGTACGATTCACATCTCTCTGGCTGAGATTTCTCCCTCTTTGCTTAACGGGAAGAATAACCGTATTCCAAAAGCCTCGAAGTGTGCAGCTATATGATAAGTTCACGGATGCAGATCTTTTGCTACATGTGCGCAGATCTACAAAACCGCGCTGGTAGATCCCCAGGGCTTCAAAGGGCTACACTTAAATGTAAATAGCACTTCAAATTAAAATGTTCGTTCTTTACCTGGAGACAGTCAGGAAGTAGAGCACCGCTCCGAATGCACAAGGGTGGCACAGGCTAGCTGAGGGTAATTAGAGATGGAAAATATTTTTATGGTTGTTGGGAATATTCGACACCTCATTGTGCTGTATCGTCGTTATCGCAGTTGGCAACTTACCTGCGTGCCTGCAGCGCCCTGCGGAGGACTTCATCGCCCTCAGGCTGTATTAAAGCCTCTTGTGTGTTTACACTGAGTGAAGTGTTGAATCAATCAAAAGAGATGAATTAATGCAATTGAAAGATATTAATCGGAAGAAATCATCGCCGTATTGTGATTTATGAAGGCAGATAGGTGAGGACATTGCAGAAAATGAATCTCTGTGGAGGTAATCTGGAGTAGAAACCTGTGCAAATATGTACGGGATTAAATACGGAGACAGGAAATTATTGAGTAGTTTATCAGACCTTCAGGAAACAATCCCCTTTTGTGTTTTGCTTCCAGGTGATGAAGGAGACAACTTCTATGTGATTGACCAAGGCGAGGTGGATGTAAGTACACTCTTACGGGCTAGGGGTTGTTTTGAAGCTGTGCAATAAAATTGTGTGCTCTGGCACCCAGCTTGCTCCGGCCGCGTGCTGTGGTTCTGTCTCCTGTCTTCTTGAAATAGATTTCACGGGACTGGGCTCGTTACTTTGCTTTTGTTGTGTTAAGTCATTTGTATGTAATTTTATAACGGGCATGTCTTACATCCTGGCTTATTTGTCCATTCTGAGCAGGCAAATGGGGTATGAAAACTGAGGGAATGACATTACCCTCGGAAGGGTAACCACACCTGGAGGTGCGCAGTCTCTGGCAGAGCAGGCCACCGTGCTGGAATGCACCCGAGGGTTCGGATCAACCGTAAGGAAAATATTTTCTTTAATCAGCTAGCTTAGCTCATGTGTTGGGGTTTTTTTTCCTCAAACTGAGATACAGCCTGAGGCAGCGAGTTTCATCTTAGAAACCTTAATTTGCTTTTAAAATTAGGTCCAAATATACGAACAATGCAGCATATTAATAAAGCAAGGATTATTATAAGTGTAAAGTGATCTGTTGGACCACAAAATGTTTACGGGAGTGCGCAGTGGTTTCATCAGCAAGTCTTTGAAAAGAAGCGCCTTTCTGAACCTGCCTTCCAACTCAGAATCTATTCACCTCTAATCATTTTTATCCCGTATGAAACTTTTTGCAGTTTTGCTACAAGTTCCTCATTTGACTGAATTTTCTGCACACACCTGACGCATCCACAGCTGCCGGACAGGACGGGCTTGCTCATTAGCAGCGTTGCTCTTCGGGTGCCCAGATGAGTTTTGTTTGGCATATTTAAAGAAGAAAGTGATTTATTTTAAATCCGGGCAGGAGGCATACAGTTATTTTAGTGAAAGTTATTTTTTTTAGCAGTCTGTTTGTGTCAGGAGACCATCTAATTGGTATTGTTGGGAATTGAGAAACCTCACATGCTGCCTCTGCCTCTGGAAGCTGCTCCTCAGGAAATCCGTCTGACTCACTGTTCCTATCAGACATAGCTCTCAACAGCAAACATTGCCACATCCACAGCGCCGGAAAAGAAAAGAGCAATATTTATAGAGCAGTGCTAAAATTTAGTTTTAGAATAATTGGTTAGAGCCCGATACCGAGCTTAATGAGTTCACTGGCTTGGAGTCAGACCCGCAAACTTAGGCAAATGCTCATATTGAAGTTACTGATGAATCCTCTTTAAAAATAATTTGTCCTCACTCAAAGCCTTTAGGAAAGCTTTCTTCGGCCTTTGGCTCAGGGATAGTGGGGGACCGAATGACATCAGAAAGCAGTCTACAAAACCCTTGCACTTAACTGCAAAAAAGATAATCTGTATGCACATAGCGCTTGTACAAAGCAGAGACGAAGTGGGGAAAAGAAAATTCTTCCTCAAAAGGAAGAAGTGGTTTGTGGATTTTCTGTAACTGGTGGGTGCCCAGTTGGCCATGGCTCTGCAGACGACAAGAAGGACTTGTTCAGAGCCCCGGTTGCTGTATTCTCTGTCGGGTGAGATGGCATCTTAGTTCCCTTCCCGGGTGTATCCTGGCATCCACTCAGAAACACATTCACTGCGCCGTGTTACTGCTACATCAGAGCTTCTCCTTGGGTTTTTATGGAAAGTTGAAATTCTTTCATCTTGACCACAAATAGCCCAAGAAGAGACAAGTGTCCGGATCATTTTTCACTGATGGTTTCTTAAGTTCATGAAAGTCTTATGCAGAATAATCTTATATTTCTCAGAACATTTCAAGGGCTTTTGAGGTTTCTGAGATAGGATTTGGGGTAAAATCTGAAAAACTACCGCAGTGGCTAAAGGGCCTGAGTGCCACTGCCGTGCCGTTACACGTGGGCTCTTCAGCTGTATAGGTGGTTTTGCGAATTTGACCCCTGACCCCTGATTTGACAAGCTGCACAAGCGCCGGTGGGCCTTCAAGCACGTGAGCAATTCCGTTGACTTCAGTGGGACTCAGTGTTTTGCGAAACGAAGAGCACAGTAGTGCACAGCTTTGTTTTACGCTGTTAGAGTTGAAGGCAGAAGTTTTCTTTGTGCTCCGAGTAGTTTGCAGTCCTCCAGTCACTTCGGTATGATATAGGGTATAATTTTTTCCTGCCTTGTCTGTGAGACTCGCGGCAGCAGATTTTCTAAGGGATGAATGAAATAACTGGGTTTCTTTGCGTAGATCGCAACTTCACCTTGACAAACATTCTCAGTCCCTGCGCCCCGAATTGCCAAAATCAGCCTCTGTCCGCTGGGACAGACCGAAATGGGCAGACCCACAATACCACCGTCCTGACGCTTCTCAGGCACGAGTATGGACGGGTTTCTGACACGAGCTGTGGGACAAACACATCCTAACAAGTATTAGGAGATGTCGTTTGGACTGAGGTTATTCCAGACGCAGCCAAAGCTCCTGACCCCTCTAAGTCTTGCAAAACTCTTCCATGAGCAAGTGCCCCTGCAGCACCCCCTTCCTTCGCCCTGCTGCCCCTCTCCCCGGCTCTGCCCGGCTCAGCTGCTGCGCTCTCCTTCCTAAGCCTTCCCTGTGTCTTCGGCCGGAACACACGCTGAATTCCTTTGCAAGCCGCCGTGGAAAGCAGGAGAAACGTTGGCTCCTCCAGGAGTGAGCTGCAGCTACACGCTGGTGGGAGCAGGAGTTGCCTACGGTGAGTGCCTTTGCTGGGGAGCCGCGGGGAGGAGATCCTGTCGCCAGCGCAGTCGGGGCAGCGTGACTTGCTCCGGTGCGCGGTGGCGGCAGCTGCCAGAGCCCACGGCCGCGCGCCGTCACACCGGCTGTACTGCTCCCCACGAAGGCGTTCTTCCACTTTCGGGGCGGCGGCGCTAAACCCCTCGTTGTCTGAAGAAACTCCAGACCGCTCGTACGCGAGCTGCCGTTCATTTAAGCCTTGCCAGCTACGTTTTTTGGCACGCTTCCACCCTTCTCCGAGAAAAAAAAAAGCGACTTGGAGAGTAGACAATTGACCCCGAGACTTAAAGCCTCAAGCCGTTTTCTGCCGAGCTCAGCTGGTGTTGGCGTACGCATGGCGGGTTCCCAGCCCCGGCCAGGCTGGCTGCCGCCGGCGTTCCCTGGGCGGGCAGGAGTCGCCGGTGTTCCGGGGCTGCCTCATTCAAACAGCAGTTTACTCCGAGAACATCATAACTGACGAGCGCCCGGGTTTTCCGTACGCAGGCAAAGATGCACGTAAAGGAGGTTACAATTGCCATCACAAAATTCCCATCCCCTGGAAGAAAGTCGTGGCAAAACTGGAAGATAAGATAATCTATCGACCAAGCAACCAAAACCAAACAGCAACCACTGACAAAGCCAGAATAGCGAAATCAGTGTGTGGTGTTTTGAGTTAAAAAAAACGCAACGTTTAAAAGGAATTTACTATTAGAGTTTTGGCATAGGGACCCCAGAGAGTAAGTAAGAGCATTCTAATATTTTCCCTTAAAAATAATCTGAGTCATATTAGAACAACAATAAAACGTTTTTAGATATAATAACGCTTTATCCTCAAGGCTTACACTTTCTCAGGGCATAAACAAGCCGTGTTAGCGTGGAATACGGGGGCTGTACGTTGCCTTCTTGGGATTACCGCAGACAGCCAGAGAAGACTCAATACCCTCTCGCTGGCCAGCGCGCTCAGCACGGGCTGTGCGCCGAGGGAGAAGGGCCCAGGTCTTCACATGGAAAATAAAGGTTCTTAGAGATAGGAAGAGGTTGGTCTCAGAGCCCCCGGGGTTTTCCTCTCCTGTGCTGTACCCTACAAAGCAGGCATGCTTTGACCAAAGCTGGTGTTGGATGGGAAAGGACGTTATAGCGTTCCCAGTCGCAGGCTCACCGTAGCGCTCCAGGGCCGAGGGGGATTGTTAACTCGTGACCTGGCGCTGCGGATGGATGAAGTTACGCTGGGTAGAGGATGGCATGAGGTTTGAAGTCTCACAGGTCAGTTGTCTACCGGAAGCTTTTCTGCTCAGACAAATGCAAAGAGATGCCAAGAAGCAGCTGGCAGAGCTTAAATTACAGTTTCCAGTAAAGATGTTGAAAGTACCTGCTAAAGTATGTGTCTTGCAAAAATCTCTAATCCATATTTCTAAATATAAAAATGACTTCCTGTTTATTATTTTAATCCTATAACCTCACATTTTTTACTTTAAAAAGCACCGCCAACTACCCTTTTAAAACAGATGTATTTTTTTTAGACTCGACAACTTCCTATTCTATTTAATGTCACAGCAACTTTCTCTACAGTCATTCTCAGGTTTTCTTCTTGTAAAACAACAGCAGCTAAACTAAAGTATGGTGAAAATCAAAATGAAAAATTTCCAGTATTTTTTCTTAAATAAGTTCTGTATTTACTGTATAAATCTATATGTTGAGCTACACATGACTATCGTGGACAATAGGTAAGATTATCTTTTGGTTGTGGGTCAAGTCTTCTTGAAGCCCTTACTCATATATACGAACTGTCTCGTTTGTGTATACAAGGAGGAAAATTACATGGTGGTTTATGTGAGAATACTGTTGGATTTTAAACCTAGTTATATTTTATGGTTAGATTCCAGAGATTGCTTTTGGTTTGAACTCTTCCATCATTAATGATCTTTCTAATTTCAGAAGGATGCTTTTTGAAATTTGAAACAGAACATTTTCAAGTTTGGAGTTTTTCAGCTTGAATTCTTACGGATTCTCAAGGCAGTCTCCAAGTTCTTATATTTATATTTAAGAAAAGCAAATTCATGCTACAAATAAAGCACTGGCTTTATTTGAGAAAACTACCCACATATAAATACCCGTCATGTCTAAGCTTGCTTGTTTTTCCAAGAATAAATAAACCTCATCTTCATTTTTGGGTAACAAATATTGAGGCTTGACAAGACACAAAGGACAAATTATTACAAACAGATCTGAGGGAGGGGATTTAAGATCTAAAAGTTGCGATGTCTGGAACAAATTAGATTGCCCACATAGATCACAAAGCGGGGGTGAAAAAAAGTGCTGAAAGTTAACTTGAAATCAGCAATACGAAATCAGAGTAAAGGTAAATTCCCTCCAGTGAAGCTCAGAGACAGTTGTTCGCATCCTGCCTTCAGGGTAAAATGTCTGTTTTCACGCTCGTAAGGTTACTTTCTGCTCCTCTAGACAAGACGAAGATGAGTGAGGCGGGGATGCGTTCCCCTTGCACAGAGCATTGTGTGACGCGTTGCCTTTCCCTCGCGGTTAGTGCCTATGTGTATCGCAGCCCTCGAAGAGAGGAACTGCTGATGTTCACAGGAGATTTTTCCCATTTGTCTCCTAAAAAAATAATGAAATGAACCCAGTTTTGTGATTTTCAAGCCCGCAAAAATGGCAGTGCTCATAATGCATGATGGAAAACAATAGAAATCTAAAGTACTTCTGGTCTGTGGAAAGTAGGTGGTCCTGATGGCTTGGTCATATTTGGGCATCTGCAGTTCGTTCCTCTTCAGCTGCACGAAGGAGAAGGTTCCAGCTATTACGGAGCTGTGATTAGCAGGTCAAGTAACAATTAGGAACAATTCACTCTCATACTTGCCACTTTGGTGAAAGTTCACAAGTGCCTAAAACTGTCTGAGCCAAAACCTCAGCCCGGCATTTTTTAGGCTAAAGGAGAACATCTGAGCTGCTGCCATATAACATTGGCTTTCATCAGCTGTTCTGAGCCTAAAATAGTTTTACTTCCCACACCTTACAAACAGAGCTACTTTCCTTTCTTCTTTTTAAAAAATCTGTTTTAAAGGGATCCACAGTGGAGCTGAACTCTCTGTTAAAGGGCGGAATGGCTTTGTAATGTGCCATCGTGGCACCTTAACTTCATCCCGAAGACAAAAGGTGATGATTGACTCAGCCCTTTGCAGACAATGAAGTGCAATGCTTTTTTTGCAAACAACAGTTATTCTCAAGCTGTTTTCTCCTTTGGAGATTGACAGTGGAAATGGCTTTTTTATTGGGAGGAGGTGGAGTGAAGGCTGGGCCCAAAGATGGTCAGATCAGCGATTTGGTTCCACCTCAGAGTACTTTAAACCCGACACCCTCAGGGTGGAGGAATGGCCTTTGGCATGAGCTGTTTCCAGGCGAGATGTCAAACACATTTTTGGGGGTCTTGTCAAGTAAGACAGCAAAATTAAAGGTGTCTTAGAGCAGTTTAGTAGTAGCCTCTCTTTATAACAACTGTGCAACAGTAAATGCCCATCCTTCACTTGCTGTACCTTGAGCGTAATTCCCCTCTCTGGGCTGCACTCGTATTACACTGCTTTAACAAGAACTGCCGTCGTACTGCTTAAAAAAGTATGTGTTGGAATGAGTTTATTTCCCGCTTAAGGGTCTGAATTCGGACCCTTCCGCAATAACAGAACCTGTGCTTTTTCAGCAAAGGAGCTTGTAGAACCACCTGGAGTTTTGGTGTGCCGAGAAGGAGTCAAGGATGCAATGTCAGTTGACATTCGGGATGTGGTCCAAACCTCATTGGAATGATTAGATTTTTCCCATGGTCCCGGAGAGTTTTTACTGAGGAGACGGATTACTGTGCTGTAGCAAACCCTGGGTCCATGTGGCGAAACCCCCACGGAAAGGGGGGGATCACTGCCTTCAAATACTCATCTGGGCAATTTTGCAATGGATTAATTGAGTTTAAAAATTTTCACACATTCTTATTATGTGACAGGGCTTTCAGAATCCTCATTTTATTCACCCATTTCTCCTCCTCATCTCACAAAAAAAGATCCAGGAGCCACAGTATTCCCTGCTTCTTTCTGCTTCTTTCACCAGGAGAGTGCTTGGGTTTGCCTGGCTTTTTTAGAACTACTTTTTTTGCTTTCTTTTTTTTTTTTTCATCATGGGGAGAATCAAAAGTAGATTCAATGTTCTGTGAGATTTTCTTCCCGCGGTGAGTGTAAAAGTTTGAGAGGCGGCGTTGTTCTCTTGTGTGATGTTCTCCTTTGTGAGATGTGTCCTGTCGTGGCGGCGCAATGAAGCTGCAGCTTTTGTGGTTTGAGCTCTTTCTTGGCAGTCTGCTACCACCTGCCTGTTCGGCATTCTTTTTACCCTTTATTTCAGCCCCTTGATCCTCAGGTGCTCCAGGAACAGCCGGAGCCCCGACACTGCCGGGCGCTCCGCAGTGATGCCGGTGCTGCTCCTTTCCAGCTGGTACCCGCGAGATCTCTCGCCCAGCCGAAGGGCTCTGTGACCGCATCCGTCTCCCACGGAACCAGCCCTCCGCTGGCCTCGGGAGGAGCTGGATCAGATCTTAGCTGAATATGGGGAAGATAAATTGGGATTGATTCCAGCTGTAGTTTGCAATATGCCTTTTCATCATAAAATGAAGGCGGAAGTGAAAAGACTACTGACAGTTTGTTGACTTTTGCCCCCAGTTCATTTATTTTGGTCACCGTCTTCTCTCCTAATTCTGCGTGCGGCTTCTCAAATCCAAAGCACTTCGTAGTCTTCTCTAAGGGAGAAACAGATCTCAGTAGTTGTATTTAAATGGTTGTTGGAGGCACTAGACTTAGGGAGGAAATAAATGTTCCTTTTCAAGAGATGTTTCCCTGTTTTGACTGTTTTTCATTTCATGGCCGTGGTGCTTTTCAGCAAACCTCACCGCACATATCAACAACTCTCCTTCCTTTCAAGTCTGACAGTGTTAATAAAAAGCCAAAGCTGTGACAGTTCTGCCTGTTGACTGTCTGAGCCTTGAACAGGAGAGGGAAAACACGATGCCAGTTAACCACAGGAGCTGAAAACCCAGAGAGTAAATACAGGCATTGTACCGAAGCAAGACGGCTTGAAATGCTGTCGGCAGAGCGGGTTGTCACCTGCGCTGGGGACCGTCCGCAGGGACTGGTAGGCTCTGGGTTCCCTTCTGTGTCCCCTGCATCGACGAGGGGGAAGGAAATTACTAACAGCTTTTTAGGTAGCTGGCGGTAGGAGGAAAACTCCAACTAAGTCCCCAAACTGGTTTTGCTTCTTGTTTTGTCTTGTGCTGTGGTAGGTTTATGTCAACGGGGAGTGGGTCACCAGCATCGGGGAAGGCGGCAGCTTCGGGGAGCTGGCACTGATCTACGGAACACCCCGGGCCGCCACCGTCAAGGCCAAGACCGATCTCAAGCTCTGGGGCATCGACAGAGACAGCTACAGACGCATTTTAATGGTAAGTTTACAGAGCAGGGCTCGTTCATGGAGCCGATAATTTTCCTTTCTGTTGTAGTACCGGCGCTTCCGTGCTGTGTTCAGCGTACGCTGATGAGAGGAGGCCGCGCGGTCGGTGTTTCTACACAAAGGAGAGAGGACGTGGCGATAACATTGAGTAACTTAATTAGGTGAAGTGAGGGAAAAGGGGACGAGATGCAGCAGAAAGATGCTGAGTCAGAAATGCAATCGAATCGCGTTATTCGTAACTATTACACAGGAACGAAAGCCTCAGGAGGCCGCCGTTACCCACCCAGGCGCTGCAAAGCCTCTCCTCGGCCTGAATCTCCGGATGTCTTTCAGCACTACGCCTCGCCTCTGAAATCCCTGTCTGACCCTGCGTGAGGCTCGTCAAGGCAGGCGATGCGGGGCAAATCCAGCGCAGTAAAAAAAAAAAAAAAAAAAATATAAAAAGCCTGGGTTGGGCTGTGCCCTCCAGCTGGGCACAGCAGCGGAGAGCCGCTGGCGGGGGAGCAGCGAGTCCCGGCTAACGAGTCAGCGCTCCCGTCCAACCGCCCGGCCGCGGCAGCAAAGCTGAACCGACCCGCTGGGCACGGGGGTGCGGGCTCACGGCTTTGCTGCCGCTTCTCGAGTGGGGAGTTTGGAACGGAAACTTTGACAGACAATTAACTTCAGCTATCTCGTAACTTTTTTTTTTTAATGAGTTTGCTTCCGATGTCCGTGTGCGTATCTCTTCCTTCTCCATAAAATATTCCTTTCTTTTTGATAATTAACAGACAGATAACTCTATTTAAAGCTTCTTTCTCGCTAGGGCTCGTCTCTAAAAGCTGCATTGTTTCATTCTGATCTGAAGGAAATGACATTCTGCTCTCAGCACAACAAAGGAGTGTGCATTTTGAGATCATCTGTATTTCCAGGCGATGTCATGGATAGCAAATATTAGCAGAAGAATTGAGTAGATTTTACACTGAAATGATTAGTTCTAGAGCAGCAGAGTGTAAGCGGGATCTTTCTTTATAGCGTGTGACGGTTTGGATGTCCGTATGAAACGTTGCTGTTTTTCACGCTGTATTTCATGGACCGAGGTGTGTGTCACACAAACGAACATCGCACTGACCCCGGGGAGAGTACATCTGATGGGAATACACTCTATCCCAAAACATACGGCCTGATCGCTCCAAGACAAAGTAGAGGAGTGATGTTGGGAAGCGTACTGTCTTCTCTCTTGTGGGTAAGCGGGATGAAGAGTTTTGAACGCTTCCCAGTGCGGGGAAGCAGGCAGTAGTAACCGAGGCCTTTCTGCAAGGTATGCTAAAACACAGAGCAGGAGAATCTGCTGACGGATCGAAGAGGCGCACTCAGCTTGCTTGTCCCACGTCCCGCGCGGGTGTCTGGGTTAGCTGGTGTGATGAACCTGCGTGCCGCAAGGAAGAATCCAGGGTAGAAAAGAGAAGGAATATAGGAGGGGAACTCAACGTCAGGACAAGCCGCATATTCCTTGGCTTTTTAAGCATGGCTTTCTACAGCTGCCTCGCTGCTGAGGAGCCGACGGGGCAGACCCCCACGCCGCGTAGTCTGGAGGTAATTTCGGTTTTTGTGTTGATGACAATAGTGGTACCTAACATCGTCCAGCCCTGGGAGCTTTCAGGTTTGGCCGTGTGTCCGTTACCATCTGATCGCAGCCTCCGCAAGATGAGTATTTGATGCAGAGATAGGGTTTTACTAAAAGGGTTTAAAGTCCCGGGTGGAAAAGGCGGTGCTCCTCGTGCTAGCGTTAGCCACACACACAGCCGGAATAGTGCGGGTATACTTCTGTTTGATTCTAGTGTAGTGTAAGTGATTTTCAAATTAATTTACATATTCTCTGAACCAGCGACCGCTGTACCTTTCCCAGCTCAGCTTCTGCAGCTGATGGGACCTTTACCTTAACACGGAGGTGTTTTCTCTCCCTCTCTCTCCTCTTGGTTTTTTTTTTTTACAGTTAGGGCTATTAAAAATTGGTGGTCTGTTGGCATTACATGAGATACCCAGAGAGTGTAATTGTAGTATTCCCCATACTTAGATGGGAAGTGTTTCAGGCAGCATGGTGAATTAATTGCTGCAGGTATAGAAAATGTCCAATTTTAAGTGCTGTCCATGGTGAGTGCAATTTGCCCATCCAGACCGCGTGAATTCTCTCGTCTTTTCATTTAATTATAGGTACAGCATGGATAGTTTCTTTGCTGTAGGTGAAATGAGAGACCTGTCTCTGTGCGTTCGCGTGCGGGCAGGTTACGGTGCCTCCCGGCGCGTTTCCTCCAGCCCGAGAATTAATTACATCCCGTTTCAGTGGCTGCAATTCACACTTGAAGCCGACTCCGCCGTTGGCGGCTGGGTTCCCCCTGCTCCCCGTCCCCGTGCAGCAGCAGCTGCCTTTCAGGTCCCAGAAGCACGTTTTCCTGCCATTTAGCCTCTAACCTTATGTTTTTAGAAAGCTGCTGGATATTTTGGATGTGGAAATGCTTCTGCCTTTAAATAAGAGGTAGTGATGCTTAGGATATCTTTTGAAATATATCATTTAAGATGATTTTAAAACTGAGGGAGCATTTTTTGCTTTTCTGTTTTCTGTTTGCAAATACTTTTGTCCGGGGATCAGTGACCTTTTTCTCCCAAAGATATGGGGTTTTCTGTAGTCAGATAAAGCCCCTCCATAACCTGGGACAGTTTTTTGTTTTGTCTGCATTCCTTCCTGGCCACCACCCGCCTCCTGTTCTCTCAGCCCTGTTGACATTTTATTCCAGTTGTAAATATTTGTTTGCAAATCATGCCTTCAGAGCCCACTTGCCAAAAGGATTTTATCCTGTCATGAGGCACTTGACTCTACCTCATTTCTCCTCGCGGGCTCTGGTTTCGTTCTTTGCTTCACATTTAGTAATTTCTAGTTTTTATTTCTGCTCGGTGCCGTTTTCCCCACTTACGTGTCTCATTGATCCGGACTGATTTATGGTATGAATAAAATGCGTCTCAGGAGGTTTGGGAGTTTGGATTTTCTTTTTTTTTTTTTTTTTTTTTTTGGATGGACAAAGACTGATGGAAAAAGTTCCTGTGGGCTTTTCGTTACACTTGTCAGCCAGTTATAATTTAGCCCGTCCCAAAAGAAGTTGGGTAAAACAGATATATTTCTTTACATTTCATTGTCTCAGGTTTGGTATCCTGATGGCTTGAAGGTCACATTCAGGTTTGTTTTAGCAGCTGTGGTGACTGTAAATGTTGGGGTAGTTCTTTTTGCCTCTGCGGTGAATTTGGTTGGCTTTCACTGCAGTCCTTGACAAAGTGTCACACCATGAAATTCATCATAGGATATGGATTACAAACAACCACTTCAACTTGTTCCCCCCTCAGTACACTCACAAATTTTCTGTCCATCTGTGTGTTCCATTCATTTCATAAAATTATCTGTGCCGAGTTGCATACTTTTCACGCTGTTGCAGGTTTTTTATGCATGTGTTCTCTGTGTGCGCACACACGCACATCTATGTGTATGTTCTATATTTATTTACTTATGTTCTTCTGGGAGAGATGCAGAGGAATTTTTTTGCCGTAGGATTCTCATGTAATTCAGTTGCTGAAATGTTGCTGCTTTCTTCTTTGCAATCGGGATTCAAGAGCATCACGGAGTGGGGAACATCCCAGGGTAGTACAATATTTGTATTCTAAATATAGCAAATACCACAAATACCAGAGAAGCAAAAGTCTGTATCCCAACATCAGATTGATCCCCCAGACAATTCAGTTCCCAGACTGAGGAAATTTGAAGTATTAATTTTTTGTAATTTCTTCTTGAAGAAGGCTTGATCCGGGATGATTTAACTATCCTCCAGTTCCCATGGTCCGAGGCACCTGACTGGGAGAGCGCCAGCGCATGGGGTGCGACACTTTGCCTGTTTGGCAAACTTTGCTCCTAGAGCGGTGAGTTGTAATATTGGGATATAAGTCATGGCAAATCAAGGTTACTCAGTTCCTGATGTTATGCCTCATTTTATTTATGCTGTTTTGGCTTTGTTTTACCACCTTGTCACAGCTTTGAACCCGAGAACAAGTTCTTTAACAAGTGCCTTCTTCCACTGGGGCAGAATAAGGCAGCAGCACTTTGTGTGTCTGTAAAATGTGTCTGGTGGCCAAAACCCAACGGGAACCCGAAGCCTGCATCCCATCCGACGTCTGCGCCATGGAGCACCGGCACCTTGCGGGCGATTTTGTTTTCGCGGCCAGTGTGCACGGCGACTCTTTCTTTCACACTCCTGTGAGAATGTACACCCAAAGCATCATTCAATCCCAGGTTTATGCAGGGATTAAACGGGGCTGGAACAGGTGAGAAGGCCATTCCGGCGCCTTCTGTCAGCAGATCTCTTTTATTTGAAATTTGAGCCACGCTTTGCCTTTCGGTAGCCATTTGTTTGGCTTCTTACCGAAGGTGGGGGGTTCTAGGAAGGACCCGATCAAGTCCAGCCAGCCCATCTGCACGCCCGAAAAAGTGCAGCAAGAAGGAAGACATGAAGAGTGCTGGAGGGAAAAGGCAGAGGCAAACAGAGGGGCAGACAGACAGAGACCGGACTGGAGGAGTGGGAAGAAAAAATCAAAGTGAACAGGGAAAGTGAAGGAGGGGGAGTTGGAAGAGAGATGCAACAGTCCTGTTCAACAGGACCGGTTATCCTCCCCGGGGCGCTCCTTTTGCCTCGCCTCTGGATTGCTTACGCTGAGCCCAGGGCTTGCTACATTTTTAAGTGGTCCTAAAACTGTCCTTGAGCTCTTTTCTGGGTGGATTTGGCAAATGCAAGTGATCTCCTTTCTCCTTGGGGCTGTTTCGGGGGGGAGCGCTGCAGCTTAGAATATTAACGAGTCTTCCTAGTTAGTGGGAACCACTGTCTTAAAGAAGATGAGCTTGTGCGTGACAGCTCAGAGTCGGGGAGAAAGTGAACAAAGGAAAGGAGGGAGAGGGAGAAGCAGCGACTATTGAAGTAAGATATTAATAGGTTAGAAAAAGCAGAATTAAAAAAGACTTTTTAAAACATGCCATCAAGAACCCTGCCAGTGCAGAATTATTCATGTACATTTACTATTGTTTTTATCTGGCTCAAGCAATAAGATTTCTACTGCTTCCCTTGGGAAACTTTTCTGCAAGAGAATAATTCCTTAGTTGGGAAAACTTTTTTTGATATTCATCTTAAATTAGATTTTCGTAATTTTCTCCTATTACTTTGAGTTATGTCAAGTTATGCTGCACTAAATCGCCCTCTCTTTCTGTCATGTATCTGTAGAAGATTATCGCTGTCTACTTAAACCCTTACCACAGTGCATGCCAGCTGTGAGCGTGACATACCTGTGATCCCAGCGTTGAACTGATCTGTACAGCCTGAATTTGTCTTGCTCCTTCCGTACCGGCTCTTCCCAAGTGTTTTAGCCCTTCTTCGGGCTCTGTTTGGTTTGGGAGCTCTTTTCTGGAGAAGAGGTACCCAGGCGGAGCGTAGCACGCCGGGTACCATCACATCCGAGCCGTGGAGATGGAGCCTCTCGGCTTCGTTCCTGAGTGATGTCTTTGAGTATACAGACCGAAATAGCCTTGGCTGTGTTCCTGTTGCGGTGTGAGGTTGCAAACCAGGTCTCACCTACTGTCTGTAAATCTCTTTCAACTTTACAACTTCCCAGTCTTCTTCCATTTGTCAAACATCTGTGCTTTGGGATTTTTTTTTCTTTGCATTTTTTAGCTGTATTTTCCAAACAGAAGCTCGTTCTGTTATTTCCTACTCCCATTTCTAATGTCTCTAGGTCCTTTCTTGTTATTTTCCTGTCCTGGCAAGCTTTCATAGTATCTCCTAGTCTGCAGATATCGTTACTGTCTGATTTGTTGCTGCTTCTAGAAGATCCATGAAAATACTGTGCAGGAACAGCCGTAGCGCAGGTCCCAGGGCACATGTCCCTCCCCGCTTCTGCAGGAACCACTTGAGAGGTGGTGGAAAAGGTTACGATGATGTTCATACCCGTGGCCTCAACAATTTGGATCAAGTGACTAGACCAAAGAAAACAAGCATGAAAGGACATCAGGAGTCAGAGGTGACGGTATGCATATGGGAGGGGATGAGAGGGGAACAGTAAAGGAAGGTGGGAAGTAGGCACGTTCTCTATCTGTTTCATGGGGAGGAAAGCTGAGTAACACCAGTGGAAAGGTTGGTGGTAAGATTTCTACTGCTGGGTTGGTTTTAGGTTATATTCGAGTAGTGTTCTCTCAAAACGCCTTCCCCTCGCTCTGCTTGTGAAAGTTTGTGCGGGGAAACACTCAAGGGAAAGCAAGGTGCGTGAGAGTGAGCCACGCGTCTTCTTTCTGGAAGGGAAATTGGGGTCCCGTTGTGCCAACTGGGATCCACCATCGTGTGCTGTGAAAACGCAGAGGCAGCGCTGGCGCCTGCCCGGGTACCCGTGGGCGAAGCTCTGCTGTCGGGTGGCTCGTCCCGCCCGGGATGGAGACTCTCGTTCGTCTCCACCAGGAGAGACGGAAGGTTGGATGGAGCCATCCTGCGGGTTGAGTTGTGAGCCATCAGTCGGGTCGCTGTGGGTTCCAGTGCCTGTGCTGGAAATAGGACTCCTAAACCTCAAGCATCAGTTCTCCTGTAGGCTCTTGTTCTCCCTTACCTTTGTGATACCGCTCTGCGACGCCAGTGAGACTATGCATTAAGTGGAGTCCCACCGAGCTTCGAGATTCTATTACAATACAAAAAAATGATAATAGCGCATTTAATTAATCCTTTCCGCTTCAGCTCTGCTGTTGCTCTCGCCTTCGCGGTGCATTCTGTAGCGCTGCCCTGGCTGAGTTTAGCGCAGCACCATCGCACCCGGTGCGCCGTAGGAGGAGGTGGGCTCTGGCTCTGTGGGGCGTCTGCAGCTCTTACCTTCCCGCGTCCCGTCTGCCTCTCTAAATACTCGAAGCTGTGGTCGGGCGTCACTTATGGCTACTGATTACTGCTTCTTAAAATTCATCTGTGTCCGCAAGTCATTTAAAAAGCATTTTCCACATCTGTCCCTGGGTGCCCCAGCCCATCGAACTAACCCACCAATCTGGTTTTCCACAGCTGTCAATTTTGCCGGTCGCGTTTCCCCTCGATTGCAGGGAGGAGAGCAACAACCGCGCAGTGTCCAGGTTTCCATCCTTTGTCTCGCGGCGAGCTGTCAGGGTCTGGCGTGGTTTGCAGAGCCTCCTCCGTTTGAAGTTAGGTTGTTTTTTGTTTTTTTCTTTTTTCTTTCTGGCACTTCAGATGCTCTCGGGGGCCCCCGAGGTTGAGAACCAGGTTTGTCAGACAGAGGGGTCAGACAGGGGTTACCGATGCTATCGCTGAGAGGCGAACTGTCATCACCAGACTCGGAAATTATGACGGGGGTGCGGAGGGGGGGCCCGCGGTAGCCGATGCTGCGGGCGATCCCGAGATACGGGGGGGGAGCGGGG